CTCTAGAGAACCGCACTTCATCTGTAGCATATATCGAGCCTTTGTTGTAACCTGATTGCTTTTGTTGTAAATAGATTACTTTAGGAGCAGCTCTAAACAGACGCACAGTAGCGGCAATAGCACGAAATCCGGATTCAAAATATTCGCCACCTACGACACTTATGGTGTCAGGTTACAGATCACTGAAAGGCGGAGCTTAGATTTGTTCTCAGATGACAGCCGTTTCCATCTTAGTCCAATGAAGGCATGATTCATACACCTTAGTGATCTTACCTCTTCAACTCTCTTTCTCTGCTCCTTTTTATTTTTTCCCTCCCTTTTGGTTTTACCTTTCGATTGCTAAAGCTCAAAATAAGATTCTATTACGTCTCTTTGTTTCTACGTTCTCATGGAGAGAAAACTGCCCACACTTTTGCCGAGCGTTATGATCGGTAAACATAGAAACGAGGGTCCTAGTAGCTGAGCTACGAAATAGTGTCCCCAACACGTTATTTTGCCTGTTTTTCAGACTGAAATGGGAGGCACTTAGTAGTCCCCGCTAGAGTTAATCGGCTGGTTATTAGTCCTGAGGATCAATATGTGAAGGCAAGCCCTTACATATTTTGCTTATTTTTCATTCCCAGTTCTATTTTGTCTGTAGTAGCAGACGTTGTTTAAAAAGATTATAAACGTACCTAATTTGAAGTTCCTTCTGTCTTTTACATTTTTTACTCTTACCCTCGTATGCGCTGAAAACGCTAAGGTGAATATAGGCCACAATACATATCTGGCGACTTCTTACCCTGCCTATCCGGAGCGACAATTTCCATTTGCAAGTTCTCGTGCTTCTTCATATAATTACGTGTCTTATAATAGCATAATTACGTCGACTAAGCAGCTTATTTCGGTTAAAAACAGCTGGATATTATTTGTTTCCTATCAACTCCTATATATCCTATCCTATTATACCAACTCCTAAAATATTCTGCAAACATAATGTCAAAAATCATTAATAACTTTTACGATGTTACAAAATTTTCACTTCATTTAATGCCTATTCTAAGACGAATTCCCGAATGTCATCATATAACTCTGTTTACTTGGGTTTCTTTCTGATTAAATATGCATCTATATTCAGACTATAACATTAATTATCTGGATAAATAAATTATCCAGGTGAAGATATTTTGCTTTTTTGCAGTATTACACGGGTATCTCAAAATTTAGTTTTACTAAATTCTAGATTATTAAGACACAGAAAAAAAAAATCTTCTGTTAAATAAATTTCAGTCGAATTACAGTTAATTTATATTTACTGCATAATATAAAAAGTAAAATGTGTAAAATGTAAGAAAATACAAAGCGCTGAGGGAAGAATACCTTAGAAATGCAGTTTATTATGATAGAGTTTAAAACAGGGTTCAAGGCAAAGTCCAACATCACAGTCTTTGCACCAGATTCAATAAATCTAATTAATAATCAATCTGCAATAATTATTGATCTAATCAATAAATATAATTAATAATTCAATAATTTAATTAAATAATCAATATAATCGCTGAACGTTTTCTAGCAGCCAGCTTTCTGTAAGAAAAAAGCTGCAAAAAAGGAAGTTTGAGCGGAAATACCACGTGCCTTCAAATGCCGCAATTTAGTGGACAACTAACGATATCTGTTGGACAAAACGTAAAATAAATGTCTAATACTGTATATAATTTATTTCAAATGGTTAAACGGGCAAAAACCGGAATGCGCTCCTCAATAAATGAAGAAAAACACATGCCCGCAAAATTCGCGGGGTGAGCAGATTTTGTTACATTTGAGTTGCCCGTGGAATTCGCTGGATGACCAGCCAGAGGGTTAACACCTGTTGATTTTCAAATGAAATTCCTAGGAGTAATTTTCAACCTAAACTGTCTTTCCATTCACATGTGCTATACTTGAGGAAAAACTACTTTAACTGGTCTTGGCGAATACCTCTCGGGGGTGCAGATCGTTGTTCTCTGCTACGTGTTTACGGGATACAAGTCCATCCAAATTTGGCTCAGCAGTTTACCTTCAGCACGCCCTTCTGTGTTATTGAAACTGGATCCTATATATTAGCAGATTTCAAGGACATGCTATGGCTAATTTAGAGCATCTATTAACGACTGTCTCTATGTGGACAATGGTGAGCCATCACTCCAGTTAAAGGGCAAGCAGTTGCCACTCTATTATTGTTTTAATACACTGTTACAACTAGAATATACTAGTGAGATTACTTTTGATGATGCCATGTTTGACAGTTTGTGTGAAGCATGTTCATCTTGCGTTCCCCATTTTCCCACAAAACTCCGATCAGTTATTGATAAGTATGTATTATCTGATGTAAGTGTTCCCTCTGCAAAACACTTTGGAGTCCCGCTGTGAGACAATGCACAAATACAGCTTCTTGATGTTTCCACCAATTCGAAAAAATAAACATGAACCAGACCATATATAATCAGCTTTTCTTTGAACAGTGATCTAACTACAGCAGTTAACATTCGATATATACAGTTGGTTCAAAAGCAGCCAGTCATGTCGGATCATTCGTTGTGATTGAAAATCGTATGAAGGGTAGATGTCTGCATGAAACATGCTCAGCCCTGACTTCGGAAACAACAGCTTTGTATTACGCTTTTTCACACATATTAAACGTATGCCAAAAAACGTTCATGCTTTATAATGACTCATTTAGTGCTCTGAAAGCTTCGTAAACATTTTTTTTTTGACATTCAGTAGTTGGGCTATAAATTTAAACTTCTGCAGACATGGATATCAGGTTCTGTACTGTTGAGTTCCTGGACATGTGAGGATAAAAGGAAATGAACTGACAGACATAAAAGTTCAGTCCTTTGTTGATATCTGCAGCCAACTAGTTCCATTTAGATACATCCACAATACCATGAAAAAGAAAGTGCTGAATAAGTGTCATCTACTATGGAATGTTCAAATCAATAACAAGTGCAAAACTCTAATGAAATACTGGACACAACTAGAAGTCGCAAAGAGCGAGTCCTTTTAACTCGTCTTATAATTGGTCAGTATCGAGCTACATTTAGTTAACTTTTGAAATCTGGGAGTGAATCTATTTGTTCAATATTTAATGCTATTTTTTCCCAACGGCGAACACTTGCCTGTAATGACATCGGCCTCTTCTAAGGCAAGACGTGGTGGACATTTTATTGTGTAGGTACGTAATAAGCAGCCGTCGTTACCTCCTATGAAGAGACATACAATTTTACATCCATCCCTTCTCCGGGTTTCGAACCCGGGCCCTTCAGTATTGCAGTAGGCGCCCCTAACAACTATACCGTCTGAGCGGTAATGCTGTTTTATTAGTTCGTCATATATTAATCGACTATTTTAAGGAATTTCGTTTTAATACTTTAAAATGTATGCAGTACCTCTCTACCACTTGTTAGGAAAAGAGGCGAATGTTAAGAGATTGAAATTTACCATTTCAATTGATTTGTTTTACAGTTGTTTAGAAGATCTGAATATTTTAAAGCGTGCTGCTGGCTTATATGCATTTTATTTTCATGTTTCCATTAATCGTTTAATCTTCATTCTGTCATTAGTCTGAACATATTTAATACCGTTTTATTCTGTATGTATGTATATTCTGAATTGGAAACTCCTACCATCCACCTGGGGTATTATAGATTTTAAGGTTATGCGTCATGAAACTAACAACCAACCAAACAACCAACCGTATATTAGCTGGAATTTGAAGAGTTTGGTAATAAACTGCATACGGCGTAGACACAGTATACCTCCAACAGGAGTTATAGTTTCGATAGGAATTTAGTAACATCATGGAGTTCACTAGTCGTTATTCCATACATCTGGACAGCAAATTTATACGTCAATTTAGTGATTTCACTGGTTTTGCTGCAGTTCTTGAACAATATTCCAGGTAGCATTTTCCAACACGATACCAGCTCTTTACCATACAGCTGCTGTCACTAAACGTACTCTGCAGAGTACCGACACGTTGCTTTGACTTAGGAGCACACTCGAATTTTCACCCATCGAGCACGCACCGTATTGGACGACAGGCCTAGAGTAATTCCCAACCAGCGCGGACCGTTGCTGTTTTGACAAACCAAGTGCAACAGGTATGGAAATCCATTCTACAAAATGGCATACAGCACCTGTACGACACAATGCATAATTTCATTCAACACAGTGGTGACTAGAGCGGTTTTTAATGTATCACTACTTCATATTTGAGATGGCCCTTCTCTTCCGCATTTTAAAATGTGACCTTGAATGAATAATCAAATAAATACGTTATCTAGGCGAATGCTTTGGCTACATTTAATTACTCTGAATTAATTTTTTCTTTGCAGAGGGATTTCTTTTCCCATCACCGTATATATCCCAAATGATATTGGGACAAGAATTCCTATGCTTGTGTGTAGGACATAAATGCTCGAAGTAATTAAAAGGAATTCTTTACGGAAAATGTCATTTAAATGGACCATGAAATATTTAAAAATAATTCACACAATGCTCTGAGTGAAAATACTATACTCCAAGTAGAAAATATGTGTAGACCATTGGATATAATTTTTTTTCGTATTTTGATGTATAATGGTTAACATTTTTAATATTATATTATATTTGTGAGACACGTTTAGGGAAAATACAGCTCCGATTTTCTAATATTTCAAAAGATTTGGACACATCTGGCTTGTTAGAAAAAGGTCAGAAATGGACGCAGCTGGCCGGATTTATTCAGCGGAATAAGGCTAGCCAATCCGAACTCCAGCGCCAACTCAATGTCACGTTTCAACTCATTTAATCAACTGCATCCGAGTTCCTTTTCTTACGTTACCTGTTCGCCTGCGAATGGTGGATTCCCACTGATCGCAAAGAAGCCGAAAAATCGAAACCTAGGCTCTATCGCGCACTCTGGCGAGAATGCGAAGTAACCACGTGGCCAGGCATCATCCACGAACTGTTGTTCAGTTTCCGAGAGTCCGGCGAATCGTCAGGGAGGAGCACGACTAAGCTCCGGATTCTCCAAGCAATTTACTAGGAAATGTGCCGGCTCAGATATTGCGAGTTTTTACTCGGATACTGGATTATTCTTCTGCATCTCTGTCTGCAAGGTAAGATTTATTTTTTTCCTGATGCATTTTGGAAATTAGATTAAAATTACAAATAAAAGGTTTAAATGTAATTTAGACAGTGCTCAATTGGTCACATAGCTTTTTACAGGCTCATCATTCAACTAGGGCAAATGTATAATTTTGTGGAAATAATCAGTGCTATTAATTGAAATTTATTTGGTTCATTTTAGGTAAATCCAAATCATACGCAAGATATCCGAAATAAAATTAATACTGCATAATAAACAAAACTCAAATATTACTTTTAGTTACTTAAAAACACATTAAAATATCCAACGCTTATTTTTATGTCATAAATACTAAACATTTTTTAAAAACGAATTGCATTTTCATAGCTAATATTGACCAGAGATAAGCAGAATATTTCACTCTTTATCATTATTTTTACAAGACAATGCGTGGTCGACAATAATTTGAAAAAATATTTTCAGAAGATGCCTGATGAGAAATACTTTCAGAGGAAATTATTAACTATAATATGATACATTAATTTATTACATTCGGAAGAACCAATAAAACTGATCAAAAATAATAATTCTGGTAAAAATAATACTTTTACCAGCTACCAACGCATTTATTGCAATGTCATTCTTTTTACCAGTGTTATGAGGTAATAATAGTTACTACTACACTGCTGAAAATAATAAACAAGACACCAAAAGATATTAAAATGCATATCTATCTCTCTCTATATATATTATTGGCATTTTTAACCTTCATGTGTAATAGAGTATTTAGTAATATGGACAAGTAAAGAAAATGACTTAAATACTTTTGCAGCAATAACATAACTAATTTCATGTCATAAGTAAGATTATGCAACAGTATGCATATTTGTACCAAAAGAGAGACATACGAAGTGGTAAAATGTGTATGTGTATCCCTTGATCAATCAGCCAAGGGTGACGAACAGCTCTTATAACAAGAAATAGATGAGATTCTCATTAAGTGCAGGTGCATTTACACATTAGTAGACTACAGTTGAATAGAAGTCGTTAAAAGGTATTGATCCTGCTGCAAGACTTCTGTTTTTCTTGTGCACGACAAATATGATTTTCAAATTCAGTGCTGAGTGTTCATCATATTATATTCTGAATTGTTTTTTTAATTTTGTGGTTACTTTTACCAGCTGGAATTAATGTTGGCATAACCTTGAATGAAACAAATATCACATATATATGCAGTGAGAAGCATGGGAATATGTCTGAAAAACCTAAAAAAATTAAGCATTTATATTTCTAATTCATAAGCACAAACGTAAATTGTGCGGCAACCTATACATTTGTATTTCTATTTCATAAAAAATGAGAAGTAAAATATCTTTTCCCGGAATCAGGCCTTTTTGTCAGGTTCCGTATTCAGGCCGTAATCATCAGCAAAGACAACTTGACTTTATTCGTTAGGTTCGGACATTACTTTTCACAGCTCTCTTTCTTCACAGCTCAGTTTTCTGCACCTTATCAAATGGCTAAATAGTATACAAAGCACTGGTTGACAAACTTTGGGCAAGACTGTGAAGAAAGAAATATATTCTCTTGTGACCTGACCTACCTGATGTTGTTAAATGTTGCTGACGAGAAAACATCATCCCAGCTGAATAGTTTTTTTACCGCATAATCTGAAGAACGATAACGTAAAAGAGACAGCCTGCAGATTTCAAACAGGCTGCGTATACTGAAATCAATTCATAATCATGAAAGTGAATTTCGTGATTCACCATGGGTCTACACCATAACTTTTGTACTAATTATAATTTTTCACAGCAACCTTTACACTCGGTAGATTTCAGTGAATTATAGTTTCAAAGAGTAATTAAAGAAAGAAAAGAAAGCGCCTACTACAGATGCGATAGGGCTAGGAAGAACTTTGAAAATCTTCCTCCTTTTATAGTCTCTGATTTACTGATTATAACACAATAAATGCTAAGCTGCATATAAATATCATGATTCTGACGTTTGTTTCAAAATCGATCTGTGTTTCCCATTTTTATAATATATGACTAACCTGATCATGTATTTTTGTAAAATAAGCTTTATTAATATTTCTGAACAGGGCTTTATTGTTTCTGTGGAATTCACTATGCATTTAACTTAAAATCTTTTGCTCAGGTTAAAAAATATGATATTATGTGGGAAACAATTGCCTTCAACTTAATGTCTTGTATTCTAAAACAGTTTTTAAAAATAATGGTTTTTTCTTGTAAAATTCCTAGAACTTAATCTCTGAATCAGCTTTAAATCTCTAAATCAGCTCTAAATAAGTTTGAAAAAATATCATGTTTTCTTTGAAATAATTATCTTCATCTTAATCTCTTTTCCTCTAAGTTAGTTGTGAAAATTATGATATTCTCTTTGAAACAATTGCCATCGTTTCAATTTTTCTTCCTTAGGAACAATGTATGTATATCTAACATTTTTTAACATATTCCAGAAATTGTCTGGAATTTTCTAATAGGAATATTATATATAGATTTAATTTTTTTGCTTTATATTTCCTTAAATTCTAAATTTTGATAATTGTTGAATTAGAAATCTAATATTTACTAATTTATCAAGATATGAAATAGTATATTTTTAATACTATTGCGGTTGTTTTTAAAAACATAAGCTAAATAATTTTTAATAGAACGGGAACTCAGCAAAATAAAATTCATGTAGCATTATAAGGCACGCGTTCTTCCTTAGACAAAAATAATAAGAATTTTTCAGGTTTCTCTATTTCAAAATACATCTTAAAGAAAAAAAAAATAAATAATATATATAAAAAATAGAAACACAAAATTAGATAATATATAAAAAATAGAAACACAAAATTAGATAATATATAAAAAATAGAAACACAATAAATTTTTACTCCAAATTTGAAATTTTTGTCTTAACTCTTATGTTAACTTAAAGGCATAGTTAAGAAAACAATATCCAAAAATTAGAAAACTAAATTTAATAAATTTACTTAAAACTCTTCTACTAAAAAAATACCAATAGAAAATCATTCCGATCAAATTGTTTCATTTTTTAATTTACGCACCAAATCCAGCGCACAAATTTGACTACGGTTATAGATTTTAATATTATAACGGAACCTCATTCAGCTGCGGACAAGCATGTACATTTTGCTTATTGGGAGGCACTGGTCATTATTTCTCTTCTTTCTTTGGATATTTTTTTTCAATTAAGAATTAAATAAAGTTAAACTGGCTTTAATTTATAGTATATTATACACCAACAGAAAAGTAATGACACAATATTATTAACTGGTCTTTCAGTTTAGGTAAGAACCAAATTTAAAGACTCTGTCTTGATATAAAGTTTTTGCTTTTATACAAAAAAATTAAGGTTTTGAGTTTTATACCAAAAAAAAAAAATCTTCAGTATATTGAAGTGCTTTTTTCATTTACCCACATATTTTTACTACAGAATCAGGTGCATAAATTTCATGATTTTGAGGACCTAAAATTTAGATTATTCTGAAAAAATAATTACCAAATTATTCATGCAGAATGTAATTCCTTACTTATTATTTGAGATAGAAGATTTCTTTTTCCTTGTTCACGTGCAAACTAATTAAATTATTTTAGCGTATTTTTCATCTATTACGATAAAAATTAGTTTGATTCTGTCATTCATATGAAATTTGAAAAAGTTCTGAGGTTATAATTTTAGGCAAGAAGCTGGGAGGCATTTTAATATTTTAAAATGCTGGAGAACTATCTTCTTCGAGACGGTTGCCATTTGTGGAGATCTTTCGTAGGAAAATTGCATCATATAAATGTTAGGTATGCAGAAAATACTATAAAGAGTTTCTTTGAGTCAACCACTGTCACTAAACCGAATGAGAAGAAATTAAATATTAAACTAGTGCAGGCGTCTTGTGTTTAGACCAAATTAGGATGAATTAAAATTAATTATCACCATTATACGTGGGAGACTATGTAAATGTCTTTCAGAAAGTGTACTTATTTAATTGTTTTGCTATACTTTTTTTCATTTGTATACTAATTACATAATTTTCATCAATATATGTGGAAAAATATATAAATATCTTTCAAAAAAGAAATATTGTTTTCGTGGCTTTTATCATTTGTTTTGTAATTATATAACATACAGGTAAAGTTTTAGAATTATAGTATAATGATTCCATTTGCATCACTTATTTTCCAAAATACTGTTTGTTTTTTAAAATTATATTCCCATTCAGTATCCATTATTAATTTTAATTCAACATTTGCCCTTCTCAGCGCATCTCTTTTAATTGACGATACACTAATCGCAATCTCTGTACTTGAACAACTACCATTAATCCAGTTGTAAAGTACAAATTCAGCTATCCCAAATACTTTTCTTAGAAAGTAAACCCGGTAACGAAATAAAACATAATCATCTACCGGATTGTTATGAAGCAGGGGCTATCAATCGGTAGTACGCAGAGAAGCAAAGTATTTTTAACGATTAAATTAAAAAATTAAAGTCACAACATCCTGACTGAGGTTTTTCTGTAACACTCGTAAATTTATGAGATCTGAGCTTTGTTCAAGAGTAGTGGTGGCAGTGGTACTTTGTAGTTGGTGGTACAAAAGTTTTTCAATTTTTGTTTAGATGGTACGCGTTAGTCAAAAGCCTGAGAACCGCTGTTATAAAGCATTTGTTTTAAGATGCTGACAATTTAAGGTTGTACAAGGTGATTCTTTTAGAACTGACCTATTTCATTGGGCTGTAGTTTTGTTATGATGTACCCGATTTTTTAGCGGTTTGTGGTAAAAGATTCTGGAAGAATGTAAATTTAGTGATCCTTCACGTGTTTTGATACACTGTAGAGACATTAGTTTAATTGGAAGAAGGGAAGATACAAAATTATTCTCCGGGAATCGAACCACGGACCTCTGGAATACCGGCCCAGCATTCAGAACCACTACACCACGAAGGCAAGCTAGAAAGGCGGGAAAATACCTTATATACTCCCCCTTTTAAAGGGCGACTGGG